GGGGGGGGGGGGGCTTATATACGGGTGGGCTTATACATGGACGATCTTTTGTGTTAGTAACAAACAAGTCAGACATAAACAAGTCAGTCATAAACAGGGAAATAAACATGTATTAAGCAGCGATTACTGGGCTTATATTAATTGGGCGACTTATATTCGGGTGGGCTTATATTCGGGGGGGGGGGGGCTTATATTTGGAATGAGGTGAGTGTTAGTACATGCGGTGGGCTTATACACGGTGGGCTTATACAACGTGATGGGCTTATACAACGAATCACAAGTACGTAATTTCGAAAAATTAATGGCTCCAGATGAAGAACAACAAGAATTTTATAGACGGCCGTCATTTGGAAGCTGCAATGTAGGACGTGGTTTTCCACAATTTATGTTGCACTCCACTCTACGCACTCGACAGTACGTAAGAAACCATACTGTTTGCATTGCTGTGGCCATAGAACCTTCAATGAATGTACTTTCTGAACATTGTTCCTATTCATTGTTGGACTTAATTTAAGTTGTGATGAACAATTTGATTTTAGAAATATACAGTAGAGTGTATTTTAATTATTTTAGTTAAACGAAGTCTAATATATATACTAAACGATCTTATAAATTGATTCAGTCAATTTTATATATTTTGTGTCTGGGCTCTATATGTTACCCTGGTTGCCAGAGGTTTTCGTATCTTCCGCCCTATTCGCGCTCGTATTTATTTCGTAATTTATAACGATGAAATTTTTGACTTGTTTAGATCAAAATTTAGTCTATTACGCAAATGGTCAATTCTTGTTTTCGTTTGACCAAGAAATGCGGAGAATTGGCTAGGATTGTGAAAATTCGCATGTAAGCTATCGCTTGAGCCTTTACTGTTTAGCAAATTGCAGAGCTTGTAACAGCTGTTAAAATAATTCTATGTGAATGGACTCATAACTTTGCCGTAACAATTCTTTATCGCGGGTGTACAGATAACTTGCGAACAAACTCAGGGGTCATGGAGTTGCGCGAGCATGCTCAATTAGATTAGAGAATTTGGACTGAACGTATCAGATGGGTTCTACAATTGATTTTATCGAGTGTATACATGCTCAAAATGCTGATATTTATCAATGCACCTTACACTGAGTGCTTCTTATGAACGCAACTTTAAAAAACAGCAAGAAAGCATCAAGTTATTCAGTGTTTTGTTTCAAAACGCAGTTTCCTAGTTGATTAGAGTTGATATAGCATAGCTAATCAAATTTGACAGCGTCAGTCTCAACTTCTCTTGACTCATTGGAAACTACTTACCTCCTTGTAATTCGGCCGTCCAGAATTTCTTTCATGTTGAGCACTTGAGAGTCACTGTGTACGTGCGGCATGTTTTCCAAAAATATGAAAAATATTTACTTATAAATATAATAGGCTTGAATATTTAATTTAGTTGGAGTTTACAGTATGTAATCGATTTTGGCTGCTATATATATTAACTGTTTAAGAAAGTTGCAACAAATAAGAACATAATTTTTGCTAGATCAATGCTTCCTTGAAAAGTATACAATTTCTGGTAAAAACTTGCTACTATAAACTATAGTTCACTGTTTGTTCGAAAACTATACTTCCGTTTCAACTTGAAGCACAGATGCATGTGTAGGGAGCGGTATGATTATACAATTTTTTGTTTTTGTGCATCACGTTTATTGAAATTATTGTTATGATTATTAATTTGCATGATATATAGGCCATACTCATAGGGTCTGTTGCATGTATATATACTTTTTTTAACTACTATTTTGCAGTCAGGCAAATGCGCAGTTAATCTATGGTAAAATATATATGATTTTGATTGGTTATTCGCACTAATTATAGTTAACTTTATACTACCTTTTTACAAACCGCCCCAGGGGCCAGTTGTTCAAGGCTTAGCCTGCGAGCAGGCTCTCTATTCAAAGCTGGATTAGCTTAACCCCAGTTTAAAGTAAAATTCAAAGCAAACTTCCTGCCAGCTGGTCTATAAATTTGCAAATATTTCTTCAGAAATCTTGTTTGGATTGATAGGAGTTTACTTCTCTGAAGTTTTGAAATAAACAGACGTGTAGAAATATACAAGCCAAAACAGCAGGTTAAATTTTAACCCAGGGTTAGCGCTAACCCACCTTTGAACAACCGGGCCCAGAAGTTTAACATAAATATTATTCACTTATTTATTATTCCTAGCTTTTGCTTGAATGCGCTCACATTGGCATTGTATAATTGTAATATGCATGTATATTGAGTTACATATAGTATAGCCTTATAGCCGGGTTAAGAACCTAACGAGCGTTGTTTAAATACATTAAATTAAATTAAACTACCTATCAACAAACTTATGTTATGACTTTGTTAATTAAGGATATTAAAGTTGTATAATAATATTCTGATCATGAAGCTTTCAAGTTTAAAAACTTGACTATAACTTTACTTATACTGGATAGCTCGCCGTCAGTTCTGAACTGTTCTTCCTAGAAGTCCAGTTAAGATAATTTTTTATTGATCCAGTGTTACTACAGAAGGAAACTTAAACTAAACTAACTTTATTTATACTGGATAGCTCTTGGCAAGCTCTGTCCGTTCTAAACTGTTCTCCCTAGTCCTAGAGGTCCAGTAAGGTTCATTTCTTATTGATCCAGTAATAATATTACTAGAGGAGGAAACCTAAACTAACTTTACTTATACTGGATAGCTCTATCAGTTCTAAACTGTTTTCTCTAGAGGTCCAGTAAGGGTCATCCCTTCTTAAATCTAAGGTTTATCCGCCTTCTTGCCAGTTCTTTGTCGAGTGTTACGACAATTTACAGGTAATCTAAACGAACTTTATTTAGAATCGAAAGCTTTATCACTTCTAAATTGTTCCCCTTAGAGGTCACGTAAAGGAATAAAACGAAACTTGAAAATTGAACCAGGTCCGTATAGCGACCCTGGGGGGGGGGGGTAGATACAGGGGTTGAACCCCCCCTCCATATTTGTTCATGAGGAATTTCAGGTAAATTTACAGTGGTGCCATTGACGGGCAAACGTGGAAGTTAAATAAAAGCACTGTTTTACACGCGACTGCATGAGGCAGCAGTCATAACCAGAGAACTGTATATATACACTGAGCCAATTGAACTGTTCCGTGGCAGATGTTTAACGGGACGTGCAGTCATTAACTTCTAATTCATGTTTTACCTTATGTTAAGGAGTTTTTAAGGAGTTAAGGGTCTCTGTACAAATATAATAAATTATGTAGCGGTGTCTTCAGTTCGGTAGCATGAAACACCTGTGGTACAGTACACACGCCGGTGGATATAAAGGCAGTACAAAAGTCCTAAAACTCCATTCCGAGTTCCTGCTTGAAGAAAAGAGATCGAACTGCAAACGTTTGAAAACAACAGGAAAGTCGGAGGAAAAGTCTATTGAACTGACGTATCTTTTGAAGAGAAGTTTGGTCCAGCGTTATGAAGAGTTGCCCGAAAGTTATTCTCGCGTTGTTGCTGTTGTGCGCTATCCACGCTTGCTGGGCAAAGCCGAAATGGTTGTGGGTAAATGATGATTCTTTAGACGACTGGGAATCGAGAGCAAACGACGCTGAAGACCGTAGATTTGAAAACGTGGAGAGGAAGATATTCACTCGAAAAATGTCTTGTAAAAGCTGCGCGGAACCAAATTGTTATGATGGTATATGCGGTAAATGAGACTTCAATTCGATTCGTTTCCTGGAGCCGTGCGTGCATGCTAGTGTTTTATGGACACGGACACTTGAGGAACGGACTCGGTTTAGGGATTATTTCAGAAATGTAGTTATTGACTAGCTTAAATGAGTAAAAGTAAAAGGTTTAATGTACTAGGAGTACGCTAGAATTTAATAAATACGTTGTTAAAATAAGCCTTGTTGGAATTCTTTACTTTTTGGGAGTACATTTTTCGTTCAGTGTAAAAGGATACTAAGGATAGGGATCCAGTGATGATCATCTTTAGCGCATCCAGTGTCACTGTGTCGGGGTCGGTACGAAGCTCTAGGAAGATGTTCTGCATGTGACTGGTTGATTATGACAATGACAAAAGAATAAGCTATAGAATGGATTTTGTAAAGAACGAAGCAAGAACAATATTTCTTTTGTTTATGTAAGCCAATTACGTCTTTTGTCATTGTCATAATCAACCAGTCACAGAGCATCTTCCTAGAGCTTCATGTTTACTGCTGTGTCGGTCGGTGTCACTGCATGTGAAACTAAGGCCCTTCCTAAGTTTCGTGGCTCAGACAAAATCCCACCCCTGGATCTCTATGAGTACACTTTCATGGAAATTTCCATATTTTTATGGAATTAATGACTGTGAAACTGAGTGAAATATAACTTTTTAAAAATATTGTAAATTGCTCTAAAAATATGCGTTACAGTCCAATTCGCGCGTGGGATAAAGTTTGATACTAGGGGATATTTGGGATAGCATTTTATGCAATTTATTTATGGAAATTTTTACTGTCATATTCTGTCATGTGGAGACATGAGGTCATCTTTTCATGTCACGTAATCACGAAATAAACTTGTCCCCGAACCTGCTAACCACTTATATTTCTTGGCTGCGTGACATTAAAATGTAACCTCCACATGATGTTAATATTTAATTTCAATAGATAACAGTAGCCTTGAAGATACGAAACTTCACTAGAAAGTTAAGGCTAGCGAAATCCAGCAACAGATATGGGAGAATTAACAATAAACCATTTTATACTTATCATGGATACAGAATGAAAATCTCAGTCTATTTGAACGAGGGCCCTCGCCGACATGGGCATTTATGTATAAAGGATTAGTGTCACACCATAGGTGTCACACCAGGAATTCGCGGGCTCAAACTCCTGCTGGCAGCCATTTTTCGGGACGAATAGATTAGATGATCTGGAACGTTTTTACAATCCGTTATATATTTAAACCATCCTTTTATAATCCTTGCTCTTTTTGTCTGATTTGTATCAGAAATGTACCAAACAAGGTATTTTTATTTTTTTGTGTGTTTTAGTAAAATGTAAACAATGACAAAAGCACGGAATGCATGACCCTGACACTAATCCTTGACAAGGCGATCGATCACGACAACAGATTGAAATAGCCCTTTGACAAAAGAGTGACATTTATCGTTGTTGATCAACAAAATAGCAAATCACAAGTAGATAATTTCGAAATAACTATGATTCCAGAGGGGCAAAAAGAATTTAATAGACCGTTAGTTGGAAAGAACAAATTAAAGGTCTTGGTAATCCACATGTACAGTTTATGCTAAATTTCACTCCACGCACTCGAGAGTACGTAAGAAACCATACTCTTTACATTGCCATCTCAATAGAACCTTGATCTTCCAAATGAAAATACTTTCTGAACATTGTTCCTATTAATTTAATTGTTGGACTTTACTCTTCAGTTTGCGTTATGCACCTATCATCAATGTTAACCCCGAGGGGGGGGGGTCGGGCAAAGGGGGGGGGATTTGATCAATCAGGTGGTCCCATAGGTCGGAATTTGGACTGACACTTTTTTTCTAAGTGGCCCGAGGGTGGGGATTTTTGACAGATTAACACTGATCTCAGACGATATACTGAAGAAACCTGAGCCAATTTTAGAACAAACTCTGACTCGTCCCCAGTCGCCCGCGTTGTAGCTGTCAACGCCTAACCCGCGAACGGGCATATCCTCCCGCACTGAAAGATAACGAGGGACTGTGGAAGAGTCAGGAACAAACTGAAGACTGGGCACTAGTTTATCGCTCGCTGTCTCGCGCGTTGTTTTTACAAGAAATATGGAAATTTCTGGACAAGAAATAAACACTTAAAAGCCATTTTATAATTATATTAATATCGTTTTATACTTGTATATTAAAAGTTCACGTTATGTACTATTTAAAACACGAGTAGGAGTGTGTTTTATCAGATATAAACTTAAACTTAAAATACGAGTACAAAAGAATACTAATTAGGGCGAACAATTATATTAGAATACTGACAATATAATTATATAAGAATACTGTGTTTTATTAGCCTGTGTTCCAGTCCACTACACCATGGTGTGGCGCAAGGTATATAAATTATTAATGAGTATTTTAAGTTATTTTGAAACGTTCTTTATGTTTGTTATACTTTTAAATTATACCGCCAAATGTATTTGTGTAATTTACCTATCACCTGACATATAGAGTGCACCAGAAACCAAATACTTCAGTAATACAATTTCATCCCGGGGGTGGGGAATTTTGCCCAGGAATTTTCTCCCGAGGGAGTGGCATTTGACATTTTTTTTGTAAAAATGTCAAATCCCCACCCCTTGCCCGACCCCCCCTCCCTCGGGATTAACATTGATAGGTGCATTAGCAAGAGATGAAGGATCAATCTCGTTCCCAGTAATCCCAGAGTATGCCTGTTCGTGGGTTATCTAGTGGCACTACATAACCCGCGAACAGGCATACTCTGGGAACGAGATTGATGACAATCTCGTACCCAGAGCAATGCGTGTGCGCGGGCTAGGATGGCATTGGCTCTGGGGAAATTGACAACCGGAACCCCTAAATTTAGGGGTTCCGATTCTTTGTCGGCACGCACGATTGATAAACGTTAAACCAATCACAGCACAGGAAAAATTTAATTTCCCCAGAGCCAATGCCATCCTAGCCCGCGCACAGGCATTGCTCTGGGTACGAGATTGGATTGATGAAGGATTGACTATATAAATAGCCTGCGAACAGGCTCTTTGAATTTCAAAGCTAAGTTCAAAGAGACTTAAGAGAGCCTGTTCGCAGGCTACTATATAAATAATTATAGAGAGTGTTGAATGTTTTAGTTATACATGTACTGAAAATGATATCTTAAAGTGAATACAGTTTCGTTGCACACTTCGTGCATCCATAAAAACGCACAATTCAGACACGATTATTAATATCAATTGTGGACTTTACTTTGAAAACATGCTGTCTACACTCATACATATTTAAAACATTAGAGGTAAATATCTATTGCATTGTCAGAATAGATATTTCTGTTCCACAATGTAAATTGTTGTCAGCTATCAGCCGGGGGTGGGGGGCACTTTGCTCCAGGGCTCCCTGGGGGCCCCCAAACATCGAAGACCCTTGAATATCTTGATACAAGATTGCTTAACTGGTAATGTAAATCCTTTTGCTGCGTTAATGCCTGATAATATGCAATAAAGTGCAATATATTGTAAAACACCGTTTGTCCCATTCACTATATTTATGACGTCATAGGGACCCCAATCTCGAATTGCCTCAACAAGCCTCCACAGAGGATTGCGGGCTCAGGGTTCGAGATTGAGGGACCCCTGGGGAACATTTGGCCCGGGCCCCGAGCAAACCTCTCGGCGGCCCTGGCTATCGTTCTTAGCTTCATTCAGTTTAATATCAGTCAAAAATACGATCAAATTAGTGAGCTGGCGCGCGCTTTAATTAATTAATAGAAATTCCGAAGTTGATGAGAGGACTGGGGACGAGTGTTGCCCAATTTTTGATGTGAACCAAATCACTAAAAAGACCACCTCAAAATTAGTAAAATTATTACTGTGAAATTGCTGATTAAAAGATTGTTTTTGGGACGCACGCAGGGACGGCGGAACGATAAAAAGGCAAGGGGGGGGGGGGTAAACGCACACCAAAGGGCACCTCTATAGACTCCGGTGAAGATATAAACCTACAATTGTGTGTTGACTTGCTAATATATGAAAGCAAACGCACTTAATCAGGTCACATTCAGGATCACACTTCATCAGTTTTGCCCAAAAAGCATCACTGGAAATGTGATTTATCAGGTAGTATTTTATAACTCAAAGGGCACTTCTGACCCCCTTGCCCTTCCTAGCAAAAGGCAAGAGGGGCAGCTACCCCTCCTGCCCCCCAGTTCCGGCGTCCCTGGACGTACGCGGGTCCATTGCTAGACTTGCTCCAAGTTATAGTATCGATCCACTATAGTGTACATTACATGACGTAGTACGGAGGTGTGGAGCGAGAAAGAGAAGACTTGTCAACTTCGGAAAATCTCGGTTCAAAACTGAACGAAAAATGCAAGACTTGCTTTAATTGTTTTCTGTCAGTGTTTATATGTATTGATCTAGCACAGTGTGAATAACATGAGTTCCATTAATGTAAATAATATAGAAAGAAATTGAAGGAAAACAATTAAAGCAAGTCTTGCATTTTTGGTTTAGTTTTGAACCGAGATTTTCCGAAGTTGACAAGTCTCTCTTTCTCGCTCCGCCTCTCCGTGCTACGTCATGTAATGTACACTATAGTGGTCGACACTATATGACAATGAAAGAGAGACTTGGAGCAAGTCTAGTCCATTGCATGCATCATCGCGTGCATGCATCGCATTTAATAGACTGTTGAGATATCCATGACTTCCAACCAACTCGAGAATTTTTTTATTCTATAGGCAGACAGTTGTTAACCGTCATGTGACAATGCATATACCAATGCAGAGCCATTGGAAACTTGTTTGCATTGATTGATTAACAATGTTGACCAACAAAATGATTAACGATGTTGATCAACAAAGTGATGAATCACAAATAGAAAGTTTTGAAGAATATGTGATTCCAAATGGAGAAAAAGCAACGAACGTCTTGGTTTTGGACAATTTAAGCTACATTCCGCTCTACGCACTCGACAGTACGTTAGAACCGTGACTTGCCTCGATAATTGGCTCCATATATATTATGGTACAGACATGCATGTTCTGGCCAACCTGATCTGCAGTGCAGGAACCGAATCTCCTCGGAGATTAAAACTGGCGAACAGTCGCTGTTGGTATCTAATCCAACCATTTATTTGTTGTTATTATTATTATTATTATTGTTATTATTATTATTAATAATAATCTTTAAACACGGTAACCTTTCACATAAGTGATTTTCAAAGGGCCGTGCGGAAAATAAATACCGCAATAAGAGAAGGATAAACTTACTACAAATAAACTAATAAACTAATTATACTTATTTACAAAATATACTTATTTTTATTTACAAGACGTGATAATTTAATAGACAATTGACAGTTTTTAAACTTGTTGACTCTTTTAGGGTTTTCAACAAGTTTATTGGGATGTTGTTCCAATACGCTGCTCCTCTGTGCGAAAAGCTATTTTTTAAGAAATAGATTTCCACCGGCCCAAAAAAACGAATATAAAAAATCTATAATTTTCCTATGTGATCATCGAATAATTAAACTCGTTGGTTAAAGCAACCTCACTTACCTCAGTGTTTACAATAACAAATATATGCATTCTTAACATCACGTTCGCAATACAGATTTCAGTAATGTTGACGCATGCGCAAACGTTTTTCCCTCGATGTTTTACGCAATGTGCATTTTTAATATAAAATATTCCAACCATACGGCATACGTACGGTCACTTAGTGTTAGACAAAACTAACTGAAACATTTTTTAAGCGGAGGAACTGCAATATGAGTTTTTTATTGTATAGTAGAGAGTGAGATACTGAAAAATACACAGTGAGATATTTTCCATATAGTTTACTAGCAGGGGCGTAGGAACCGGGGGCCAGGGCGGCCATGCCCCCCCCCCAAGTTTTGGCAAGTGCCCTTTTTCCAGGAACAAAGTGCCCTTTTTGTGTCTGAAAAATTTTCATAAAATGTGCATTTTTTGTCCAAACGAAACTTTTGAAAACTTCAATCTATGTTTTTTCCCGAAAAATGTTTTAGTTTCCGGGAAAAATATTATATATTGGTTTGTCCGAAAATTTTTTTTGTATTTAAGAAGAAATCTGGTATGTCCGGAAATTTTCCAATGTTCTTTTAAGAAGCGTAAAATTTCACAATTTTTTGCTTGGAACTGTATAATAAACAGAACATTGCATAGTCTGCGATAGCAGACTGATCTCAGCCGACCCCCCTGGAGCGGCGGAGAAACAGTCTGGGATCAATCAACACTAATGCCGTATAACTAGTTACTCACTCGCTGCGCTCGTTCATAAAATATTGTTTTCACCACTCGAAGATAAAAGTCATCTTCGCGCCGCCGTGTAATATCCTCTATATATGTCCGATCTAGCCGGAAAAATCGGACTTTTTCACAGCCACGGACGATTTCGCATTTAGTTTTGGCCCCGGCCCTGGAAATGTTAATCCGCGGTACTTGTAACCACTGTTTTCACAAGTGTGAAATAGTTGTGTTATGTATTCTGAAAGCATGCCATTAATAATTTATAAATTGGTAGTTTCCTGGCTTACTGCTCGAAAAGATGATCTGGATTGGACGGTCGTTGCTGTTCTCGTACTTCTTGTTGCGCGATCATACCGCAAATGACGTTTATGACGACACTGATGCAGGAATGCCAACAAACTGCAACGATAGTCTGAGAGGCGTAGAGAATAGAGAACAGGGTTAAGTGCAAAATTTAGCACCGCAATCGGCTCATAAATGTTCGCAAATCGTCCCAACAAATCGTCACGCAGTACATCCACTCTCCATAGATATTCCATCTGTTTTGCAACAAAGTATGGTAACGCTGTCACAATCAGTATTACATTAAGCATCACGATAGTCTTGGCGATTTCCTTATGCTTGTTATTGCGATGTTCTGCGTTTACTTCAGTATTCAGTCCGCTTTTCATAATTTCGCGAATGATAAGAACTTTTAAAATTACTTGCACGACCACAGCCAATTCCAAAACGGCGACTTGCGCTATATAAATCGTCATCAATTGCGCGAATTTGATATGAATATCCGCAAAGTCTAGGTATGCAACGTTACCTAGCCCTAACAGGAAAGCCAGGATCCAGATGACCGCGCAGGCTAACCCGATTTTCTTGCCAGATATCATTAGCCTACTTCGTATAGGGTATTTCACAATAACGTAGGTTTGGATAGTTAGTAATGTCAACAGCATAAACGACCCACTCGCGCCGAACATCCAAAAGAAATTAAAAACTGCAAGGGTAACGGAATTAGTTGATTCAAACTCTGTTCGCAAGCCAATATTCATAAAATTTGAAAGAGCAGCAATCAGGTCAGCAATTGACAAGTTTAGGATGGTGAACCACGCGCCTTTGCGAAGGACGTTCAAAGGGTCAACCAGAATTGCTATGATGAGTAAAGTATTGCAAAGAACACCAACAGCATCCACAGTCATTGCGGCAATTCGTGCGGTGCGGCCTTCATTCACGTTTTCACCCTATGTATAAAATGAAGATACAATTACTACAAACGCACTACACGCAAGCGTGTTTCATGCTTGTTGCAAGCCGTTTTAAATTTGTTACAGGCAGTTACAAACTTGCTACAGACTTGTTGCACGCGGTTTCAAATTTGTTACAGACTTGTTACAGGCATGATGTGAACCTTTTACAGACATGTGTGAACCAGTTACACATGGTTACCATTTTGTTACACACGCTTACCAGCGTTGGTAGTGGTGTCGCCAAGATTTTTTTTTTGGGGGGGGGGGGATTTAATAACTTGTGTCGTCACAATTCTAAGGGGTCCGAATTTTAGGTCTGATATTTCCTGCATTGTGGAGTCGCTTGGAGAAAAATGTAAAGGTTTCTTTTTGTTAGTAGTATGTCCTGTCCTCCCTTATGCATGTGCCACTGAAATTCATAAAAACGATGACAAAATGATATTGCTTATTGCCGAGTGATCGACAGTGTTTAATTAAAATTTAATCAAAAGCTTTAAGTAATAATTAGAAATTGCGCTGTTTTTATAAGTAATATTCTCTTTAATCATAAGTAAAATTTGCATGATGAAAATGACTCCTTTTCACAACCCGCCATTTATTTAAGCAGGTACTTTATAGTATATATTTCATGCGCGTGCATTAGTAATTAGTTATAATGTGTTTTTAATGAACAACGTTCGGGTGATGCATGAAAAAATAATTGGTGACTCTATATATTATAATTTTTCATTTGCATCGGTAACTAGAAATTATTGCAAAGAATGTCAGTAATTCTGCTTCCATTAAAACAGACAATAAACATGCACCCCTGGCTGTGGAGTGACTTTACAGTTAAGCAGTTTTCATACGTGCTGCACGGAAAAATTTAAATCCGATTTAAACGTTTCTTATGAAATAATTAAACGAGTAAGTGGATAGCATTTAGTTTTGTGTATATGATTCGTTCGAAACTATTTTAAATTCATTTAAAATTCCGCTTCTTCGAAGAACTTAAAATGTTGTAAAAATATTAAAAATAGACGGACAGAAATAAAGCCACTTAGTCTTAGACGCTGTTTTCTTAGCTAGCCCGGCAGTGAAATTTCCAGTCGATTATACATGACGATATAGGCCGGGCTGAAATTTCAGCGCGGGAAACCGTGATGAAACTCAGCCCGGGCTGAAAACTCTCCATGCAACATGTATTCAGCCCATTAATTCAAATGTTCATGTAGACAGATGTTTTCAACGTCGTAGCCATATAGCAAATACTTCTTATCAAACAGTGATCTTAATCAAAAGCATTTACAAAAATTGTAGAAATCCCTTCCAAGATATGCTTATTTAATACCATATATATAATATATATTAAATATAGTCACAGTGTGATGCCGCTGCTATGAGCAGCTGCCTGTATTTATTTCTGCAGGACATATCGTAGCCAGTGATTCGTAGCCTTTTCCTCTATATACTAATCAGTTCCATCCTACAGACTACAGTACAGTGCTCAGGAAAAAGAGCGATACGCTATCTTTCGGTACAATACGGCTTAAATGAAAACAGATTTGAAACAGAAATAAATGTCAAACTGAGTTGTATCAGTCTCGATTATACCACACACTTATCATGCACTTCCGTCTATGTATCATGTATATGTTTAAAAATAAAAAACCCTAATTGATGAGGAAGGAAATTTGTTGGTCGCATATCAAGTTAATCGTTACACTTATAAGTTAAATCGCAGAGATTATTATTACTGAAAAGCAATTTTGAAGATTTTAAAAAGATTTTTTTAGCTCAATAAATTACCATTTATTATATACACACTATACAGGGAAATATAAATTAAACGCTACGACATCGCGGCTGCCCATGCATCATCGGCAAATAGAAGAATAAAAGGATCATTTGAACTAATTTGACCAGCTGATTTTTGACCAGACGTGATATTTCCAAACTTCGGATATAGTAAAACTTCTATTGCATGATCTGGCAAGACAAGCACGCCACTAGGCAGGTCAACTTTTTCAAAGTGAAAACAAAAAGTTGTTTTTTAAAGTTTACTTTGGCTTTGGCGTTTTACGTTCACCTATTGGATTTCGAACACTTGTCTTGCAATCGCGCACTGTAGCCAATGAAGCATTACATTATTTGCTGAGGACGCATTTGAACATTCAGTCCATCTTTCTCAGATCAAACGATTCCAAGTTGGCCCCGACCCATTATTGTTATAGAATATATAGAAACTGATTTATCTTTCCAACACAGCCAAAACATTTCCCAATACGTTCTTAAACATATATTTTTAGTCTCAGAAGTGATATGTCGTTGCTGAAGCAATGTTTCCATATGTTTGCCGAAGCTCAAAGGTGGGCAAACATAGAAAACTCAGTAATATGACAAAAATGATGTTCTTGTTTGCCAAGGACTGCAAGGTTGCCAAGGCCTTGTATAGATTCCCCCCAAGAGTGTTATTCTGTGACCGAAAACGGTGTTACAATAACATTTTGAAATTCACAGTGTGAGGAATGATTGACATTTTAGGCTGGATTCACAGAAACGATGAAGAATTTGTGTATTGCAAAGCATCTGTGTATACTTGCCTTTGACATGGAATCTGTGTTGTTGAACTGACCATGACTGACAGGCGTTACGAATGATTCTTTAACTGCTGTCGAAGGCGCTGTGGTTTCTTTTGAACACACAGGCAAGATAATTATGATCGTGAAACACGCAATATAGCACTTGAGTGGAGTGCTATTATACTTCCCGCGGAATCTCATATTTCACAGTGTATGATATACGATTAACGGAATACACTATACTTCAATATACCGCAATATCACTGCGGTTTTCAAAATATCGCGGATCGTTCCCAAGATCCGATTAGATCTGCTATGCGCATCGGATACCACTCCGGATATTTATCGTGTTGTGATGAGGCATCATGATGAATGTTGACGATGAGGCGTCTCTGGTATATATAAAGCATGTAACCTTTAATTGTCAGCAGTCAGCGCCGTCCTTGCATAATCATTAGTTAATAAATGTGAAAAGGCTTAATTATGATCGCAGCGATGCTGTTTCTCTTTGTTAGTTCAGCTACATGCATGTGAACTCGAAAAACAACGTGCTTTTTCTATAGCGGCCCAAACAGTACGGCGTTAGCCGGTTGGGGGGGGGGGGGGGGGGGGGTTTTT